TGCAGATGTAGGAGTTACTGACGGGCCTGCAGCCGGTGGCTGGCCCTCCGATGTCTGCGGCGTTGCACCACCAAATCTTCGTTGGTCCGTCTCCTGCTGGTGTCAGAAGTGGGATAAAATCATGCCGATTTTACCTAAGGAGGAAACGGAGGGTTTCCGTACCCGAAATCAACGCCAGCAGAAGACGGACCAACGAAGATTTGGTGGTGCAACGCCGCAGACATCGGAGGGCCAGCCACCAGCTGCAGGCCCGTCGGTAACTCCTACATCTGCAGCACCTGACTTAGGTGCTCTGATGGTGATGCTGGAGGAACAGGCCCGTTGGTTAAAAGAGCAGCAGGAGGTACAGGCTCGCCGACAGGAGGAACAGGCTCGCCAGCAGGCGGAACAGGCACGCCGATTGGAAGAGCAGCTGCGGGGCGGACAAGAGGAACAGGCCCATCGGTTGGAAGAGCAGATGCTCCTCGGAAGGACCTTCACGCTACCTTCGGGAAGGAGATAAAGGAGGTGAAGGATAGGGTTGCTCAGCATGACAACCGCCTGTCGGAAGCTGAAACCCAAATCGCGAAAGCTGAAAACCGAATCGAGAAAGCTGAAACCCGAATCGACCAAGTAAACAATCGGGTTGACAACGTAATGGCGGACATGAAGAAATCACTAGACGAACTCAAACTTGGGGATGGAACTACAGCTCCCGTACTAGCTACAGCACCTTCGCTACGTGGATTCAAAGTGCCGCCGTTCGACGGGACTTCTTTCTGGTCGGCCTATAAAATCCAGTTCGAGGCTGTTATGAAGGCGAACGGCTGGAATAAAAGTCAGGCCATGACTGCTCTCACACTAGGCCTGCGCGACCAGGCCTTAACAATTCTGGAAGCTCTCGGTGAGGAAGTGACTTATGAGCAACTCCTTGAGGCATTGGAGGCGAGATATGGCGACGCTCACCTGGAACACGTCTTTTGTGCGCAGCTTAAAGATCATGTGCAGCGCATCAACGAAAACCTGCAGCAGTGGGCTCTAGAAGTGGAGAAGCTGGTGCGAAAAGCATACCGGTCTGTACCTGCGCTCGATTGAAGGGAACCTGGTGGAGACATTCATCGACGGCATCCGCGACCTGGAAGTCAGAGCTGCTGTGAGGTCCGGGCACCACGAGACGCTTAAGGACGCCTTGGCCCATGCTCTGGAAGTGGAAGCCGTGCGGCAGGATCATCGTTCCCATCGCGTCAGGGAGGTTGCAGCAGCTACAGTTCGCGACCGCAACAAAGGATACATCCCAAGGTGCTATGGCTGTGGGGAAAAGGGCCATCTTCGTTCCAGCTGCCCTAAGCACACCCTAGGAAGGGAAGGTGAACGATCTCAGGAGGGTAGTGCGGCCAACAGCACCGCCCAGCAGTGGCAGGGAAACGAGTAAAAGCCAGAACTGCGGGGCGGGTGCTGGCTGATGTTAAAAGAGCCCCAAGGATCTCGATCTCACAAACCCATGATGGGAACAGCCTAATCATAAAGGGCGAGATCAACGGAATGCCGTGTAAGCTGACCATAGACACTGGAGCCTCTCGTACGGTTGTTAGTTCCCAACTTATAAGTCAGTTCCTTGGGGACTCCGCATACAACCGAGAACGCATTAATTTGGTAACAGCCACCGGTCAGCGTATACCCGTCCGTGGAGAGAAGGAGTAGAGTTGAACTCGGCGACACAAGCGAAGCTTCGGAGCGGAATTAAGTGAATTAGTGTGTTTAATTATTAGTGTTTTTAGTTTTAATTTGTGTAAAGTAAATTAAAGTGTTAATTTAGGTAATTTTATCGGCAATTTTTATTGTCACGAACCTCAAGCTCGTAACAATACATTCAATATTACTTTGTGCTTACGTTTACGACTTACTTTCGAGGCGCATGTTTAATTAGTAATTATTTATGGTCAAAAACCGTCCTACGAAACACCAACTACTCAATGAAAGATTAGTCACAATAATCTTGTAACTACTTTACTTTTTAATAAATCTTTTAAACTTTGGTGATCCTTTCCTATCGTCGTGCTCTTTAACTAACTTCAACTCTACTTCATGAAAGTATATGGCCTTACAAATCATTCATTTTATGGTCCTTCATTTTATGGTCGAGTAAAAATTCAAAAGTGAAGTGTAACTCAGCGATAAATCTGCAGTAGCATATCGGTGGCCTGGCCACCTGGAAGAGGGAATCACTAGAAGAATTGAGGAATCATATCACATACTACACAACAACTAAGACGAACCAACACCAAGCTCTACATCTGCCATCGTCAACTACGTGCCAGAACACCGAGGTAAGAACTTTGCATTGTCTTCTTCTAACTTTTTACTACAACTTACCACTTCAACTATAACATCATCTGCACCTTCAACAATAGTGTTTTAATAACATCAACACTTTCTGCTTAGATTATAATGCACAAGTGTATGTGCAACTACAGGTGCACTCTTTATTACCTTACACTAACAGTCTGATAGGACGGTAATCCAACACGACTGGAGAAAGAGCAGGCGTAGGGCGGCTTTACTTGCTTACGGTAGCACGGTGTGAAAAACCACCAATTTTATGGCTCTGGGCTGCTACTGATATTTTTTTTGGAAAAACCCAGTAACAGATTTTTTTACCAGAAACGGAATTTAAACCGAGGACCTCATGAGTACCAAAGCAACAAAAAAGAAGCGTTCGTGATCACTAGACGTAGTTAAGGCGGTAATAGAGCTTTAAAGCAGTGTTTGCACTACAGGCAGTCTGCCATTAAGTTGAATGATCGAAACCAAACTTTACAGATTACCTGTTACGGCCCTGCCTGCTGATTGCCTGTTACCATAAAATTTTACGGCCCTCAGTTGCCCCGACAGAAGTCGGCTGGTCTAGGGACCATCAGTAACCCAACTCGACGGGCAACCAGAGGGTTCGGTCCCAAATAGCCTGTAGGCTACTTTCCTACATTATACACACACACATATGCCACACAGATACACACATACATACTCTCTCACACTCAACATATACAATACTTTTACACGACTATATATTACACCACTATATACTCTCAACACAATGCACGTAGCAACAGCCGTGCGTTGAACGCGCCGCCCGGAATTCCGTTAACACAGCTGGCAAAAGGATCGCCTGCGCCCGCGCACCGCGTTCACCACTTCACCAGTCGTTCTACCGACACGACGCGGAACGCATGTTGCTCGCTAACGCTAATCCCTTGTTCTCGCCGTAGACTTTAAGTATTACGGTTAATATTGATTGTGCTTTTGCTAGACTGTATTTTTATTATAAACTCTTTTATCTTGGCTTGTGTATCTTCTGCTTGTTTGTGCTAAATTGTGTATCTCCCGCTTGTGTGTATTAAAGTAAACATTTTAACTGTCAGTGTTGTGGAATTATTTGTATAGACTATTTATCTCGCTAAAAGTCTATGGATAACTATTATGTAGTGGCTGGATAAGCAAACACAAACTTACCTATTCCGGAGGTAGGGTCGACCACAAGGTACCGTCAGGGGCAAGTAAATGGTAGGTGTGAGTGGTGTAAGAATGTGTGTAATGTAACCTGACGTCTCCGATGTAATAGGCCAGTAGACACACGTGCGTTGCCCTGCTCCACAAGGTGCAATCACTACTGTGGGCGTTCACCGTTATCTGAACTCAAGTCCAACGTCACTTACCACAAACTGTAATTGAATAGGAACGCGATCCCCTCCCGGGTCACAAAGTCTAACGTTCCACCCGACAAATCAAAAATTCCTTCGTACGATATTAAAATACCACACAAGCAACTTGTCGACGCAAATTAATGGCAATCGAAGTTAAATAAATCACTCAAACTCAAGGAAAGCCTCGTTGTCACGTATACGAATAAAATAAGACAACGCAAAATGCGTGGTCTTAACGTGACCTAACGAGCCTAACGTAACTTCCCGACATCTAACCGATACGGCCGCCGTGGAAAAAAGATTGTTCGAGACTAATTGGTACCGCCGCAGCCCGCAAAACGAATGTCCGCCGGCCCCGCCGTCAAACAGGTTTATCGCCCAAGACGAGCGTTTTTGCAAGTTTTAAGTTGTTAAGATTTAGCCTAAACAAAAAAAAGACAACTTAATAATGCGCCCACGGCGCCAATACAAAGGCAAAGCATTAGGTTCCTTAACTAACACGAGGTGTCCAACCCGAGGAGGACCCGTCTTGTCAGACCACTTAATGCGCTGCTGCAAAAGATGTAGGTACTCCAGAGACCATCGGTGCCAAAAACTCTGAGTCATTTGTTGCAGCAGGTCAAATCTGCTCAACCGCGAAGAGTTTATTTCCCTAAAGGGGTACTCGGGCAGGGCGTTAAGCGGCTGGCCAATCAGGAAGTGGACCGGGGTTAGAACCTCCAAATCATTCGGATCGGACGAGAGGGGACAGAGGGGCAGAGAATTGAGTACCGCCTCAATTTTACAGAATAAGCTCCTCAAATGTCAAAATAGTTTCGCCAATATATTGGATTCGGTTTTGCGCCTGCGTTTAGTTTAGTCGTGTATTTGGTTGATGTAAATTTTATTCTAAAATTCGCTTTTAAAAATTTGTGATTGGGTGACTCAGTTCCTTATCACTCTTGTGTTATTTACGGAGCGGCTCCTCCCCGTGAGTGGACCTAGAGTGAAACAACATAATAATATATTCTGTGGTTCCTGTTCTGAAAGTAAGAATCCTGTTCGTGGAGTTCTTCTGAGTTTTGAACCTCGTACGCAGAGTTTGTTTGACGAGTTGCGTCGTGCCAATTGAGCCACCCAGCTAGTGACGTAAGTCACAAAACTACGCTTCGCTAACTGCTTACCGGGTAACGTCATCCGTATTGTTTATTTACTTCTCATCACTGTGTATTGAATTGGGGCTTCTGTACTTCTACACACGTTAGTGGGCGATTTGTCAGTTCTGCGGAAGGTATTAAATATACTGGGTGTAGCAGTGTTTATGATCAAATATGTCTTAAAATGCCTAACAGCTTTAAGTGTCCGGATTGTGTAAGCAAACAGCCGCGTAAAGACAATTCGGATACGCCAATTAAGGTGATAACAGATCTTAATAAAAGCGAATCTTCAGCGTCTTCACCATTAGAGTATTGTGACTCTGATGACAAATGGTCACAAATTATGCAGGAACTTAAATCCGAAATAATATCAATGCGCCAAGAAATTAATAACTTTAGCGCAAAATTTGATAAAGTTTATACGGTGGTAGGCGATTTATGCAAGCGAGTCGACTGTATGGAACACAGATTAGATGCGCTTGAGCAACAAAAAAATTGTGAACCACCTTCAAATTGTAGTAATAAATTTAGTGAAATGATGGAATGTCTTAAAATGGAGCTAAATGACCGCGATCAAGAACAACTTCTTATGGATGTAGAAATTTCCTGCCTCCCAGAAGTTAAAGGTGAAAATCCAACACACCTCGCTATTCTTATTGCTGAAAAACTGGCTGTGAAGTTGTCTGAGGAGGATATTGTTAGTGCGGAGCGTATGGGACCAGTGCAAGTGATGCGCAAGCACAGGTGCACTCTCTATTCTCGAACGGAGGTAGATCAGGCGCAGAACCAACGGCTTTACGTGCTTTCCGAGGCACGGGGGTGAAACACCGCCAACTTCCTGACTTCAGCAGCTACTAAGAATTTCTTGACGCAAAAATTCAATATGAATGTGATCTCTCATATATAGGGCAAACAAAAATATCATTTAGAGCCCGCGTAAAAAATGTCATTTTTAGAAAGTCTGCAGTTTGTGATTATATCCTAGACGACCCCCGCCATTACATCAGATTTAATAGACCACAAATCCTAGCGAAAGAACATCGATTCCTACCAAGGACGATACGTGAGGCTACTGTAACTACTGTAAAAAACATCCTAATTTCAATAGAGAAGGTGGATAGGTACTACCATCTGCTTGAGATCCTGTAATTTTAAAAATTTAAACTAATTCCATGCATACCACTGCAAAACTTCAAGACACAGACACTGTAAGTTCATTATGCGTAGATATTATTCAACGATATTTATTAACGATATTAACGATATTTTTCAACGTGTTAGAGCCATGCTGCAGTTATATTAGTAGTATAGTTGTAGCACGAATGGGTCCTCTCGACCGGGGAAGGACCACGCTCTCACAGAATACCAGCGTGAAAAGTAGCTTAATTCTGCTGTGTTTCGTATGGTGAGTGTAGAGAACCGGAGACCCTTTTTGCTGGTTAAGAGACATTCCATCTTAGTCCTCACGGGTGACAACGCATCTGCATTTTGATTTGTAATCGAGGATAGATGTAGATGTCTTTGGGCCGCAGCAACCACTAACTATCAGGTGAACTGTGTACTCGTTTGTCACCCTATCCTATAAAAAAATCCGTAAAAGTAGTTTTAATCAATGTGTAGTGTTCGCGTAAATATAAAGCCGGCTATATAGCGAGCGAAGGCGAAGGCGAGCACGAACGTCTAGACAGCCCATTTGTCCAGCCATTGCTCATCGACGCTCGCCTAGTTGGCTGAGTGCAGGCATACGCCAACGTGTATATGGTTCATTTGGCGTGCTTTGCCGCCCTCAGAATCGATCGCTACGTCTCGTCCACTTCGGAACGTTGTCGGTTTTTCTGCACAAATCAAAGGCGCTTGTCTGCACTCGGCAAGTCGCGTCCACATGTTAGTCGCCCATGTCAGTTAAAGCTTGGCGTCCATCCCGGTGATATACTGATTTAATGAAGTTGCAACTTTAAAATATTTTCGACGATGTCACTAACGAGGACATCTTTAAGTTTTTATCTTTACTACGGGGTACACTAACATAATAATTATATGCACTCATTAAATAAATAGCAGAAGCTGCAATAACTTTTTCGTCGTCCATATCATTTCAATTCTCAATGACTACTAATTACGGCCAACACGTGGATAGTTCCACAAAAACTCGTTAACATCGGCCTTGGAATTGGTCTCTTTAGAACTTGATCAACGTGTAGACTGTAGCACTACCCTTGTATCAATTTGTCTGCGCTCGCGTTGGCTGATGCTTTTCCAACATGTATTGCCGGGGTAAGAAATTATTAAATAATACTTCCTGTAGTATAATTCCTCATTATCATCACTATTGAACCTAACTAAGTTCACTGTTGAACGTAGACCTAAAGTCTGCATTGTGGAGGGGATTTGTGCCATATTTTACACGCTGACTAGGCGGAATGGCAGCCGAAATTTTTTATTATTTTGAGCTGCTTTTCAGACATCCATGAGATTATAAGTAGCAGTACAGGGCTCCTTTTCTGCCCAGGAGTCACTCTGGATAAGTGCTAGCTTCTTACCTATTTCTGCCGCCAAACATCACTGCTTGAAGTGTTGTGCTCTAGTCTGAAAGGTATAGAAAGCCAGTATAATTACAGACTGTGATACATAACATCTTCGACCCTAGATGTGACATCGCATCTGTCTTGATGTGATGTTGGTTTCTCGTGTCCATGAGCTCCAGTAGCAACTTAGTATCTGGTGCATTTTATTATTATTATTATTTATTATTTCGATTCAAGTTTTGTATCAAAAAAGAATATCACCGGTCATTGCCTGTCTAGACTAAATAGGTAAATTACGTATTTACCTCCGTACTAACACTTTCTCTTTTATAATTCGAGTGTACTCAATTTGCCGAATAAATTATTAACAGTAGCTTTTTCCACTGTTAAGTTAAAAAATAAAATATATTTCTTATTTATTACGAAAATATATTTCTTAGTTCTCAAATGATGTGTTAACTAACTGAGTGTAACAAATAATGCAAATAAAAATCAACGCAAATATGCTATAAAGGTCAAATTGCAAATTACCCCTATTATAACCATAACAGCCTATCAAAAGTCCACTGCTGAACAAGCCCTCCCCCCATAGGGTGCCAGATAGGGAAGATATTTTCCGAAATTACCTTGCTTGGCGAGTGGGTTTCCAAACGAATTTTTGTATTATTTTGAGGTGTTATAGAAAGATACTCTCCTGTTTAATTTTGATTGCCTCTTACAAAACCCATGGGACGATATAATGTAGTGGGTATTCTCACACCGCCACTACACAGTTGACCACTGTTGCACGGTTTTAGAACAGTCCTAATTTTACTGTAAAAACTGCGACTTACCATTTTGTTTGGTTGACTTCACAAAGCGCACTTCACGGTACATTCTCAGAAAATTGTTTATCTCTAAACAGTTTTGCATGACATCATTAATGATGTCCTTGCGCAGTAATCTGCCACTATTTTGGTACAATTTTAAAACAAAATAAACAAACTAAAAGCTAAATCTTGAGAGAAATACAAATTAATTAAATGTTTCTAGCCTAAAATAAATAACTTTCAAGAAACGCGTCCCTCTTTCTCCTACAAAAAACACGCTTTCAAGGTAATTTGTAAATGCTGTTTTTCAAACTACAGGCTTCGCCTTAATGTTTTCTTACACCACCAAACTTTTATCAAACATCATCATCATTACAGTTTATCAAGCTTATTTTTAAATATAGGCTCCCATATACGAGATTGTCTCACAGGGGGATTTATTTTCAAAGTTGCTAAGCAGACTTAGATAGGGAAGTAGATTGGCAATTACAGTTTTCATTAATTTGAGCTGTTTTCAAGAAGACCTCTAATCATCTTCTATTTCAGTTTCGCTCAGTCACCTCTTGCATTTGGGTGTCCTAAAGTCAAATTAAAAACAATATTATTATTACTATTACCGCTAAAGCCTATCAAAATCTACTGCTGAAAATAGGATGAGGCATGGAATGCCTCAAAGAGTAATTTCCATAGTTGCCATGCTGGCTTGGCGGGTTGGCACTGCAGTTTTTTTGTTTGTTATTAGGATGTCGCTTCTGCCCAACTCCTGGCTGGTTTTTCTGTGTTGTCATATGCGACAATTACGAAAAATATAAAAAGAGTATAACAATACTATTAAAATATAACTTTTACAATAAAGTATAAATAAGTTCATGATTGTCATGATAAGTCAAAGATTGACTCAGCTTGTTCTTATGTAAAACTAAAACGAGCATCAGGAAATTCCACTGCAGGAAATGTGTAAATAAAACGAATTTAACCCGGCGAGCATGAGGTTAAAAAAAGTTACATCGAGAATGTGGCAGGGTGGGACATACCCATAATTTAATGTACCATATTTAAGTTCTTATTATTATTATTTTTACTTTGATGATTTTATTATGTAAAATAATGAATGATTTAATAGAATTAAATGAAACAAGCTCTTAATTGTGAAATTATTATTATATAATCATGTTTTTCATAAACTTTGTAATTAAAGAAACAGAAGTTTAAGGACTTACAAAAATTTATAATTTAACAAAAATATTATTATTTGGAGTGTAAATCAACCTAAAATTAAAACATAGTGAGATCCTCCTTGTAAAAAACTTATTATCAATTTTTTTTTTAATTAAAAATTATGGTTAACCACCACTGTCGAAATCAGCACAATTTTCGCAAATAAATTTTGCGTGCTCCATACATATGGGCTTGGCACAAGCATTCCAGGAATATTTGGTTTTTCTATCCTCCTTGTATGGACAATTCTGATATCTGACATATCGCCCGGGTATATTCACATGTCTAGGCGAGGGCTCACCGAACTGTTTTAAGATTCGCTACCGGATGTAGCTTAGAATATTCTTTTTTGATTTTCTTGATTGTAGGTGTTCGTAAATCACGAATTAAAAAAAATTATTAATCACGAAAAAATAAAATTACGAATGAATTCCGTTCTCTTGATTGTGACGTTCGATATAAATATAATGCAAGCATTTATAGCTGCCATGTTCAAGACACCATAGAATAAAATCGTAGCCCATCGGTTACTGTTGTGACTAACATAACACAGTATAAATGAATGAACAACAAATTTATATACTAAAATCATCAAAGAAAAAACTAATAAAGCAATCATAATTCATGATCAAATCATTACGTAATAAATACGTCAAAAATGAGGCAGGGTATAATATACCCGAGACAGGTTTGCCCACGAATATAACGGCCGGTGTCCCACTCCACCTGCGATCACGCCACTAACCCGCCCCGCGCGCCCAGCACTCCAGCTACTGAGCGAGTTAGAGTTTCCAGGCGAGGATTTTCAAAAATACACCACCTTGAAATTTTATCAGGGTGTGTGATACCCTGGCTCATGCTCGCCGGGCTAACCACCAGGATCATAGACTGCACCTCTTCGCTTCGCTTCTGTTACCAAAGTTAATGACACATACAAACAATTCTGCTCTATTTTATTGAGTTTCGAATTCAATATTGAATCATAACTCATATTATGAGCAATGGCAATATTTGACACTACTTTGTATTGCGCTTGAAATTTAATAATATTTACAAATAACTTTTTCTTATCAATATATTTAAAAAAATGCTAAGTACTGCAGTTTCATTCTTCAATTAAAAGTTGTCTTCTTTACTAAATAAACTAGATAACGTATCGACAAACTGGGGTCGTCTAAAGAGGATTTAATTATCAAGATGGGCCGATGTTTTGCGATGTGAGCATTTGTTAAGGCCGTTACCTAATTCACTGTACGGTACGACAGTGACGCAATATGTTTACAGTTACCCATACATAGAAAGGAACTATTAAGGAAGATATTATAACGGGTATCGTACAATAAATGAAAATGAGAGACTGAAGTGGCGAGGAAAACTCATCACTTTCACCTGTCAAATTTAATAATAAAAAAAATTAGTATATGATTTTACACACGCTTGATATTTTTTCGTTATGTTGAACGTTTGCATGGCGAGTGCACTGATCAATTAATAAATTAAACTGAACTAAAATTTGTTAATGTTTATGCTGCAAGGATGAGTGAAAGAGTCGAAATAGTCGAAATTCTAGACAGAAGTTTGCCTACCAAATTTGCGATTTATTGAAGATGGGCTAAATTTAATAATAGTACTCTTAACTGACTAGTATCTTTGAGTAGATATTATACGGATTTGAAGGAGGCGAGAGAAAAGTATCAATAGGGTACTAGAGTGTTTATTTTATTTAAGATATATTAATTTTATGCTAAAAACTGAATTTAAATTTAAATTACAAGTACAATTTTAACATCTAATGTATGAATAATGTTGTATATATACTTTTCCCACAACGTTTGAGTACTTTTTTTATGCGGTATAGTCATACTGCAGCTATGTTATGATCGTAGCACCGGGTATGATATAATTGTTGACCAGGGTAGGACCACGATCTCACAGAATACCAGCGTAAAATAACAGCTCAATGCTGCTCTGTTTCTTATGTTGAGTATAGAGAAACAGAAAATCTTTTTACTAGAAACGAGGCATTCGTCTTAGTCCCCAGGGCTGGCAGTTTATCTGAATTACTTCTCCTTTAAATGTTTACTTTATCTGAAGAATATTAAATATTTTATTCGCATAAATATGAAAATATTATTTAAGTGTAAAAAATATAAAAATCGATGGTGTAATATCTATAAAAAACAGAGAATCTTTCTTTAAAATGTAATCTGACAATGAAGAATAAGACGTGCTGGTTAGGCATGTCATGCGTTTTTCTGGATGGAATTAAAAAAAGTATAAATATTAAGTTTTTTAAAGTCAGTTGAAGTTATAGCCCTATACTTTCCGCTCGAGCACTAGCACTCCGCACAAACCTCGTTTCATTACTCAAAGGGTTTTAGGGCAAGGAAGTGTATACCACGTTGTCGCAATCTCTAAATCAATAAGTTGACGGACTTTAGAAATTGCAGGTTTTCTCACGATGTTTTTCTTCATTACCAAGCACGTGGCATGTAACCATTTTATAAGTGCTGGCGGGAATCAAATCCAAGATCCCACAGTTCGTTGCTTGGTAGGTAACGTATGCTCTTGAGCGACCACGGCAATTTTAGTTTTTATAATAATATTGAATGGTACAGAAAAATATTTTTCAAAAAAAAATCATTAGCTTTTTATAAATGTCAGCAGAGTTAAATACAACCGTAAACAGAAAACTATGATAAAAGCATGACGACTTAATCCTGTAAAAGCACTGCGTCCTCGGTACATTTAAATCCCAAACAAACCAGCAGGCTGTGAATAATTAATTACGTTGAAGAGAAAACGGAACGATAAGATCGATTAAATACATGAAATTGTAAAAAAATCTCTGCACTGCTATAAATTTGGAATCGTATAACTTGAATAAAAATGCTTAATGAATGCTATTGATAAGTCCAAACACAAGGCGTACTAAGAGGCTTATTGGTGGCCTCAATGTGATTAGAGTCAATCTTAAAAATCTTGTGCACAGATACAAAACAGCCAGCTTTTTGGTGCTCGAAAGGTTTGGTTTGGTGGTGGTTTTGCATCTGTGCACATTTCGAAGAATGTACAAACCCCCCGACAATCAGATGCTCAGGCAAAGACTGGCTGAGCATCCGATTATCCGATACCTTTTTATTGTCGGCACATCACGCATTTGGCTCCATTATCACTTATCCTCAGGCGTATAATAGTAAAAAATAGCAGAGATATATAGTTATAGCAGTGACTAAGCATATGGTTACAGGGATGCACAACCGTGACCTTATGTCATTGAAAGTGATGTCTTTTTCCCCTTACATCTATCGTATACTACTCAATCATATGCCACTAACAGAGAATATGCAGTAGGCGTGGTATAGCCATGATGCAGATGCAGTAGTATAGTTGTAGTTGTGTCGGAAGGACCACGCTCTCACAGAATACCAGCGTAAAAGCATTAAGCTACTATCTTAATGCTGCTGTGTTTCGTATGGCGAGTGTAGAGAACCGGAGACACTTTTTACTGGAAACGAGGCATTCCATCGTAGTCCTCACGGGTGACAACGCATCTGCATTTTGATTTGTAATCGAGGATAGATGTAAATGTCTATGGGCCGCAGCAACCACTTATCATCAGGTAGACTGTGTGCTCGTTTGTCACCCTAATACTATAAAAAATCTGCCGTTAGGTAGATTTACACACTGTTTGCACCTAAAACATAGACTAAAATATGTTTCACTCGATGCACTCAAGTGGCTCTGTTCTGAGCCACCTGAATACATCGTGGTATTCACTATATCTAGTGGGTGCTCAATTCAGACAATCAAGGCATCTAGGCGCGGCGCACGTAGGTCAGTGTGTATGTGTGTGTGTGCCACCATCTTCCTCGTTAATTGTCAGTTTCTTAAGCTATGATGTCCTTTTCTATGTTAACTAACTTAACCGCGCACATCATATAGCCCAATATCATTCACACTTGCTCTTGAGTGTCTGAGCCGAACGCTTTCAATAGTGAGTGAAGTCATCAATGCAGTATAACAGCTGCGAAGATCTGTAGTAATTTCCTGACCTTGGTTGCGGAATCGGGGTTGGATTCTTCGGTTGACCTCATTAACTTTACAAGAAATCACTAATTTTTTATGAAGTTGCTTATTTGATGAAGTACCTTTAAATGTAATAGAAGCGAATTTAGAGATTTAATCAATTAGAAATAAATAAAGTGGTTATTTAGTGGAATGCACTACCATTAATCTAAGAAAGTTTTGGAGTCTCTTCAAAATAAGCTAAAAATGTAGCAAGTAGCTCAAAATGATGCACTGCGAACCTGAGACGACCTATACTCATCTGTGAAGTTTTGTGTGATTGATGTGATTCATGATGAGAAGAATGATGGATATTCTTCTCATCATGAATAAGTCCACAGATGAGTATATATTTTATTTATTTATTTTATAATATATTATTTATACCGAGTAAGAATATCAGAACGAAAACATTATACATTAAATAACAGGGTGTTTAATCATAATAATCCCTAATTACATATCAAACTTTGAAAGGATTCATTATTTATTAATATCCACATATGGTTATTACTATTAGCAACTTGAACATGAACTTAACAAAACTACGACCACAGTTCTGTATTTAATGTTCAAACGAAAATGGTCCCTAAGTCCCTTTGCTTGTGTACAAATTAGAAGTTTTAATATTTAATCACGGTAAAAACATTTTGTAAATGTGCTGATCGAACCTACCGGCGAACCATTCGTTTATGTGCAACAACAGCTATAAAAGTCAACGAGCATCTAAACTTCAGGGAAGTTTCGCCAAATGGCAGTAAACGTAAATTGCGGGAAGCGTTCCGCTGTAAGCATTATAGCAACCAATCTCGTGGATTGGATTTGAAGGTTTACTTACCTCATGTATAGGTAGTTATTGGTTAAGTTAATAATTTAGCATAAAATAAAGTCGCTGTTGTTGTGTGTCCATTAGTGGGACGTATATTGATTGTAACTTTTTACTTTTGACATTTCACAAAATATTATATTTATATGTTTCACTGTAGGTAATCCTATACCTTTACACGAGCAATTCTTATATATATATAATATATAAAAAACTTCATCAGAGTAAGAATTCTAAAAAAAATCCCAGCATCGAACCCCGAAACTCCCGCACACAAATTTTATTTTTGATTTGAATTTCATAAAATTTTGTTGTGCAGGGAGTTTCGGGGGGCAATAAATCGATCTAGCTAGCTATTTTTAGAAAATATCTTTTTGGCCATGTTTTTAGGCAATGAAGAACTGCTAAAATATCGTTACAATAAGAAGGTAAATTTTGATCATTTATTATTGATTACAAATAGCCTAATTGGTATATCGGGCGGTCACAAAATCGTAATACCATGGTTCGAGCCCAGACCGACCAACCGACTTTTTTAATTTTTTTTTCAAGTTCCTTTCTTTTTTTGAGAAAATCTATTTTTTCGAGCCCTTTTTTAGTATTTTTTAAAAACACGAAAATTTAAATTAAACTAATGGCACTCATGATTTTTTATTCAAATAACCAGTTCAGTTTTTTCTATTATGTCCCTAAGATCAAAAAATATTATTCGTATTTCATCAGTATGTAATTTGTATCTAAATATAATTTCCAAACCCACGAATTAAAAAAAAAACCGAGCGAAAAATACCGAGCAAAGCTCGGTCAACCGGGTAATTATAGATAGAATTGGGAAATATGAATTAACATTCTAGATGAGTAACACACTAATTATTTATTTTTTGATTTCTTAAATTTACGCGAACACTACACATTGAATAAAACTATGTATTTACGGATTTTATCGCGTTTAATTACTTGTATTTATTTATTTTTTGAAAATATTCTTCAGTTGTGTTTCGTACAGTATTAGTAGCCAGAGTAACCTGATAACCTTTTCTACTAGAACAATCTATTTTGTTTCACAGGGTTGGCAGCGCAAGTACATTTTGATTCTTATTCGATGAAATATGTATATAACTACCAAGTATGGGCCACAGTCATCATTTATCATTACATGGAGTGTGTACTCCTTTATTACATCTCATTTTTTAAATAAAGTTTTTTTTTTAATTTGAAATAAGTACACAAAATAGGGTATTTATACATTTTATGACAAATTTTAACTATGTACAGTTAGCAGTCGTCAGTGATAACTGACTACAAAATTACCTATTTATTGTTATAAGATTTATAATTGTAGTTTTAAGGGAATATCTGTGAAGATTCATTCGTTGTTTCTTTGCTGAGAAAGAATTGGAAATAAATAGCAAGAACAATCTACTAAATACATTTTTGTACAATAGCGTGCATCACTGATGACGAAAGGTATTTTAATCTTTATGTTAGGGGGTAAAACGTCTCTGTTGGCTTCTTGCGAATCAGGAAATATAAATTAATATTATAAGGTATAAAAGACCCAAATTGAATTTTACTTGCGGCAATGTTTTAAAATAGATCCAATATCCTACTGAATATTCTATTAGAAAACTAAAAAAATTGTAGCTACAGTTTTCTTTAATTTTCCGGAAATAAAAATCAACAAGACTGTGCTTCCTTCAATTTCAATTATTTCTTTTTCTAAAAAAAATATTACCCCCTTATTATAATTTACTATCGTATCTTGAAAGTTATCAATTATAAATTGCACAAGGACAAACATCCAGATCCGGAACGATTGTGTTGTGCTGCTGCAGTGAATATTGGCGGACTTTACATGTCTCCCTATTATTTTTATTCCTAAGACTTAAGGTTTATCCCGGTGTTTTATTTACCACAGAGCACGACGAGAGACTTGCAGTTTAATTCGTGCCCTTAAAAAGATAGGCATTTATATGCGTTAAAGACTTACAACCTTTTATTATATTGGCTCTCTTACTATTTAAATTGAAATTGTTTTGCGTTACTTTAAGAATGTTTTCACGTCGTGGTTGTAGCATGAATGGGGTCTACTCAAACAGGGAAGGCCCACGATCTCATATCATATCAGCAAAAAAATAGCAGCTTAATGCTGTTGTGTTTTGTATGGTAGCTGTAACCACCGGGGACCCTTTTTACTGGAAACGGCGCATTCTGTAGGGTGACAACGCATCTGAATTTTGGTTTCCACTTACCATTAATTCTATGAAAAATATATTTTACAATTTTAGTTAATTAATGGTGGATTCGATTGAAGAATAATTTCCATTGGCAACACAGAATTTATCAAAATTCTACGTGCACTGCACCAAAGGAGATGAACGAAATTCTGTGCTTGACATCGTGCCGAACAGTTATACAAAAATATGTAGGTAATAAAACGATAAATTATAAGCATAATTAAATGGTTTTTATTTCTGATGTCCTTGGGACAATTATAAAACATTTTAAACTGAAAAACGAAAGCTAATGCTTTTACTATAGCAAGAACGAAACGTTTTTAACTTTTTTAATTAAGAATTTTTACTTGGACACTTGTCATTTAAGCCATGTTTTCATTTCATTCAGAACCTTCGTTTTTATGGATTTTTTCATCACAATATACTGATACGTCACCATGCGAAGATTTTGGGAGATTTTGGCGACAACTCAACGAACGAACAGTCGATGACGACAGCCACTCAAGTTCATAAGTCGCCGAAGTAATCGAAATAACTTGAGATTTATATCAAAACCAACAGTTCACGTGCGCAGACACTTAATACAAAAGACTGCATCACTTTCATCAAAATCCATTTCAAGCCATTATTTAAACAATAAAATAGGAGCAACAATCCGTCGATGGTCAAGTTCGTACCAAAACCACTACGTTATTAAATATTTTTCTGTATTTTGTTTATGGCAATAGATAAGGAACGCTATTTTTATAATAAAATAGCCTTCATTACTAAACAAAATCACAATGTTGAAACATGAGGCGAATATGTAGATATTAATATTAAATAAAAGAAATATATTTAGAAAAACGATTGATGGCTATACTGTTAAAGTAAAAAAAATTAATATTATCTAACACCACTGAATAGGCCGTATGGTCATTGATGGCCTGTTCCGAAGGAGTCCTATCTTGGTAACTTCAAGTTTCAACTTGTCATGAGCATTTGGCATTGTGGCTGTGTTTGTAATTTCGTATTTTTTTTTACTGTCGTGGATTTCGTTAAGGTGACCCTCGGCTTTTCTCTTAGATTGCTGGAAAATAACTACTTGGGTTATGAGAGAGATAATTTACAGCCTCCAGCTGCTTTTTTAGATGACATTTTATAATTTATTACAGAAAATAATTAAACGATTGAAATAAGCATAATGCATTTTTTGTGTCCTTTTCAATTTATTTAAACAATTTATCACGAGAACGAGTGATTACACTACATACCCTACAAATTATAAAACATAAAATAAAACCCTAGGTTCTGCAAGAATTTGATTTATTAACATACTTATTAAATATTTAAATCTTCAAAATAAGACATATTTTGATGATGATATGATTATTAAATATTTAAATCTTCAAAATAAGAAATTGCCCAAACTTGTATCAGATCAAGTTCCTTTCCTTTTTCATTTATTTAATCAAATTATTTATCAACTGTTTTATAAAATCATCATTAAAAATGTCGATTAGTCTTTTGTCATTCTTTCTTCAATCGGAGGATGCTTACCTAGGCTGCACTAAAAGTATCGGGAATGGAATATTTCCACTGTTCCTGTCATATTAAAATCTTTTTAATTGATAACTCCTTGGTTTTAAAAATCGAATACCATTTATTTATTTAAAAAAAGATTCTCGGTCTTGTCACAAGGTTTTGTCAAACTTGTTTAGTCGTTGAGAAAATGGAATTGACTCGAGAATATTTAAGAGCGATGATTTATTACGACTTTCGAAGTGGTTTAACACAAAAACAGTGTGTTGACCGGATGATTTCTGCATTTGGTAATGAAGCCCCATCTAAAACCACAATTATCGCTGGTTTGCTGAATTTCTATGTGGACGTGTCAAGCTCAGTGATGATTTCCGTCAAGGTCGTCCAAAAGCTACAGTCACCCAAGAAAACGTTGATGCTGTCCGTAAGCTGATTGAAGAAGATCGACATGTGATATACGGCGAAATTCAGGCAACTTTAGACATTGGCATGAGTCAAATACAAATTAATCTTGCATGAACAATTAGGTGTAAAGAAGTTGTTTTCCTGATGGATACCGCATTCGCTCTGTGAAGAGTAAAAAGCGGCTCGCGTTACTTGGTGCGTCAGAACTCTCGAAAGATTCCATGTAGGATCCTCAAATGCTGTATACAACATCGTATCAGGCGACGAATCCTGTATATACGCGTACGAACCCGAAATAAAAAACCAGTCACGAGTTTAGGTGTTCAAAAATGAGTTAAAGCCAACAAAAATTGTTCGTTCACGGAGTGTTGCAAAAAAAAAATGGTGCCCACGTTTGTCTCCAAAACCGGCCATGTTACGACTATTCATCTTGAGAGACAAAGAACGGTTAATGCAGAATGGTATGCTAGCATTTGTTTGCCACAGGCCGTTTCTGAACTCCGTAAAGAGAACTGCAACCGCCGCATCATCCTCCATCACGACTATGCGAGTTCTCACACCGCACACAGAACAAAAAGAGTTTTTAGAGCAAGAAAACATAGAATTATTAGACCATCCGCCTTATAGCCCCAAACTAAGCCCTAATGATTTCATATACTTTCTCTAAAGTAAAGAATAAATTGCGTTGACAGAGATTTTCATCACCTGAAGAAGCTGTGGACGCCTACAAAACGGCCATTTTGGAGACCCCAACTTCCGAATGGAATGGTTGCTACAATGATTGGTTCCATCGTATGGAAAAATGTGTCAAATTTCGCGGAGAATACTTCGAAAAGCAATAAATACATTTTTAAATAGTA